TATATATATATATATATATATATATATATATATATATATAGGTATATATATATATATCCACCCCCCCCCCATATATATATATATATATATATATATATATATATATATTATAGGAAAATTTCTTGCTCTATTAAACATCATTGGGAAATATTTTTAAAAAATAATAATAAATTGACAGGAGGGCAAATCATTCTGGCTTCAACTGTACACACAATACAGGTCAAACATTTGGAATACTTGCGATGTTTAAGGAAATGTCTTATGCTCTGCAGATTCAGACACACTGGGTCTAAAACTAACACTTGGCCTGCATCCTTCCTGACTAAAATTGGCTAGTTGTGTCCTCAAAATTCAAACTAGTTAAAAATCATACCTAACGGGGCATTTACACAATTTTCAACAAGGTTGGGGTAAGGGCTAGGGGTAGGTAAGGCCATTCAATAAGAGATTTTTACTGTATACAATACATTACACCTACCGAAAGTCCTTGTAAACCATATACACAAGCATGTGTATGTAAAAGATATGTGCATTTATGTGTGGTTTATGAGGTCACAGAATTGTATAATTACATGGTTTTGACCTAGTTGTACTCTATAAGCTGGTATATGTGTTCTCGTAATTCAAACTAGTTGAAAATCATACCTAACGGGGCATTTACACAATTTTTAACAAGGTTGGGATTATGACTAGATAAGGCCATTTATATAAGAAGTTTTTACTGTATAAAATAAATTACGCCTATGGAAAGACCTTGTAAACCATATACACAAGTATGTATATGTAAAAGATCTGTACATGTTTGTGTGGTTTACGAGGTCACAAAATTGTATAATTACATTGGTATGACCTAGTTGTACTCTATAAGCTGGTTTATGTGTCCTCATAATTCAAACCAGTTTAAAACCATGCTTGACGGAGCATTTACACAATTTTCAACGAGGTTAGGGCTAGGGATAGGTAAGGCCATTCATTAAGAGGTTTTGACTGTATAAAATAAATTACGCCTATCGAAAGTCCTTGTAAACCATATGTGTAGTACGAGTAGGTGTGTGTGGGTTTAGTGGGTCATATTTGTGAGGACATGGACTGGTCAAGTATTTGACAGGAGTCTGGAACATTGTGGTCGCTTGTAGACTGTGGATTGAGTGTAGTTCTCCATGTTTCCGAGAGAGAAGAGACTTCTCTGCATTATTACTAAAACTGGGCATTGGGTTTCTGTGATGACATCATTCCACAAGCTCAGTGTGAAAGAAGATGAAACATGTCTGGGTCACATTTCACCCCTAAAAAAGAAGAAGAAAGAAATAATTGAATAGTTGTTTATTTTTTGTAAATCCATCAGAGGCCAGTCACATTTCTGTAAATGTTTTTCTCCTTTTTGCTCTGAAAGGTAACAGAAGTTAGCATTAGTGCCCTGTAAAAGTACCGTGAAAAGGAAAGGAAGTTAGCGTTAGTGCCCTGTAGCAGTATCATAAAAAGGAACAGAATTTAGCATTAGCACCCTGGAAAAAGTAACACAAAAAAAAGAGAAGTTAGCATAGCAGCCCATAGAAGTATCGCAAAAGTTAACATTAGCTCCCTGTAAAAGCATCATGAGAAGGAACAGAAGTTATCGTTAACACCCTGTAGAAGTATTGTGAAAGAAAGAGAAGTTAGCATTAGCACCTCATAGAAGTATCACAATAAGGAACTGAAGTTAGCGTTAGCGCCCTACAGAAGTATCCCGAAAAGAAACAGAAGTTAGGGTTAGCACCCTACAGAAGTATCACAAAAAAATAGAAGTTAGCATTAACTCCCTGTACAAGTATCACACAAAGGAACAGAAGTTAATGTTAGCGCCTTGTAGACGTTTTACTAAAAAGGAACAGAAGTTAGTGTTAGCACCACATATAAGTATCGCAAAAAGGAACAGAAGTTAGCTTTAGCGCGCCATAGAAGTATAGCGAAAAGGAATAAAAGTTTGCGTTAGCGCGCCATAGAAGTATCACAAAAAGGAACAGAAGTTAGCGTTAGCGGCCAGTAGAAGTTTTACTAAAAAGGAACAGAAGTTAGCCTTAGCACCACATATGATTATTGCGAAAAGGAACAGACGTTAGCGTTAACACCACATACAAGTATCGCGGAAAGGAACATAAATTAACGTTGGCGCGTCATTGAAGTATAGTGAAAAGGAATAAAAGTTAGCATTAACGCCCTGTAGAAGTTTTACTAAAAAGGAACAGAAGTTAGCATAAGCACCACATATAAGCATTGTGAAAAGGAACAAAAGTTAGTGTTAGCACCACATATAAGCATTGTGAAAAGGAACAAAAGTTAGCGTTAGCACCACATATAAGCATCGCGAATAGGAACAGAAGTTTCTGTTAGCGCGTCATAAAAGTATCACAAAAGCAACAGACGCTAACATTAGCAGCCCGTAGCGTTCATTTTACACACAAAATGGGGCCAGACAAAGCCCTGGGCACATGTTTTGCAGTTTTCAAATGTATCCTTGGGCATATATTCCCAACATTCCCAAAATGTCGCCACCTAAACATGACAGTTAAATGAATTTAGCGCTAAAGCAACCAAAAGAAAAAAATAGTGCAGATATATCAGGACAGCATTGTAATTCATTTTAAAGACTTTCTTCTTTTTATTTTGGGGTGAGGTATGAATGTGAAGGTGACCTTGACATGGTATTGTGAGATAAAGTCTCAGCAGCAGATATAAGCTCTAACTTCACACTTTTCTTGCACTGCAGTGCTGCCGTTGCCAAGGCAATCCAACATATCCATTATCTGTCATATCAGACTTCACATTTGCTTTAGAGTAAACTACTGTCATATGTGATGAAGACCTCTGCCTTCCTAAACAGAATACAGTCTCGCACACTAATATTGTCACGTATGATATGCAGAACATTGTTTTTGGACCTACCTCATCTCTGTACCTGATATACTGTATCGCATAATGTCTCCATATTTTCACAAGGCAAGCATAACTCACTCCCATCAGTTTCCGGTGCGTGTCTTGTAGATATTTCACATTATTATTATTATTGTTTCTCTATTTAAATTAATTTCTTCAACGTTATGCATGACGTGTGTCTTAAGGACTTTTATTTTGACGTCAGGTTTGTTGCAGCTACTATAAAGTGCTGGTAATACATTTTATATTCACGCTTTTACTATTTATTTTCGTATTTTGTTATGTTATCATCTATATTCTTATTTGAGATCTGTATCAAAGTAATCAAATGTATTCATAGAACAAACTATTCTTAATAAATCAATCTCATAGTCAGTTGTTTGGCTTTTTGTGGATTCATGCTGCATGAATATTGAGGAAATCTTCACAACTGCATCAGTGTTTACACAAAAATGTTCATCTCATATAAATACATGTTATTAATGTTGAATATTGTTGTGGGCGCAAATGCCTTGTTGATGCCAGAGGACAGAAGAGAATGGCCAGACTGCTTCCAGCTGAAAGAAAGACAACAGTAACTCAAATAAGCACTCGTTACAACCGAGGTCTGCAGAAGAGCATCTCTGAAAGCACAACATGTCCAACCTTGAGGCAGATGGGCTACAGCAGCAGAAGACCACACTGGGTGCCACTCCTTTCAGCTAAAAACAGGAAACTGAGGCTACAATTCACACAGGCTCACCAAATTAGACAATAGAAGATTGGAGAAACGTTGCCTGCTCTGATGAGTCTCCATTTCTGCTGTAACATTCGGATGGTGGGGTCAGAACTTGGCATCAACAACATGAAAGCATGGATCCATCCTGCCTGGCATCAACAGTTCAGGCTGGTGGTGGTGGTGTAATGGTGTGGGGGATATTTTCTTAGCACACTTTGGGCCCATTAGTACCTATTGAGCATTGTGTCAACGCCACAGCCTTATTGTTGCCGACCATATCCATCCCTTTATGACCACAGTGTAACCATCTTCTAAAGGCTACTTCCAGCAGGACAACACACCATGTCATAAAGCGTGAATCATCTCAGACTAGTTTCTTGAACATGACAATGAGTTCACTGTACTCAAATGGCCTCCACAGTCACCATATCTCAATCCAATAGAGCACCTTTGGGATGTGGTGGAATCACGGTGGCAGGCTAGATAGAACGTCAGGCCACCAGGAAATGTCCCGGTGTCAAATGTCCCGGTGCTCCCTATGGCCAGTCTGCCCCTGCTGACAACCAATTGAGTGTGGGTGATGAGGAAATGTTCATTTTTAGATGATCTATCTCTTTAACGCACAGGTGTCAAATCCAGTTCCTGGAGGGCCGCAGCTCTGCACAGTTTAGTTCCAACCCTGCCTTAACACACTTACCTGTAAGGCTCAATTAGTTGTGTTTAATTAAGATTAAAGCTAAACTGTGCAGAGCTGCGGCCCTCCATGAACTGGTTTGACACCCAGGCTTTAAGCAATTAAAAAAAAAACATGTAACCTGATAAGAGACTAAAACTAATCAGATTCAAACAGTCTGCAAATGAAGGTACACATCAGAGCATAACAAAAATAAGGAGATGGGAAAAAAGGGATACATCACCCTCTGGTGGTTCATTCCACCAATGAACAAGCAACAGCAACACTGCACAGCCATACTGAAGAGACCAGTCAGAATCAGTGAATAATCATTCATATAGAAATCTGAAGATTAAATCCGGAGTTTACTGTAATTACAGAAAATGACTACAGATTAGAGTCATACTGATATGAAATAAGCACTTTCCCCGATCTTCATTTCCAATTTATTTTAATAAGTTACATTCAGGAACTCTATTATTCGGTGTTATTATACAATACATAAGGCACAAGACATCAGAGTTTAGGAAAATCCAAATTTAAACATTTCATCTTATGCAAACACCTGTATTAATTATAAAATATTACTAAATATGCACAAAAACAACAATTAGTAAGACTAATATAGCAAAATGCATAAGATAGCAAAGTGCATTTATTTCTTCCTGTGATTTGATAATAGTAGTTCAGTATTTTGAGTCCCCAGAGAGAGTTGTGAAGCTTCTGTCGTCACTTGAGTGCCAACTTTTTGAAGAATTACTGGATTTACAGAAACACTCCACTTTTTTTTTTTTTTTGGAAATAGGCTCATTTTTTGGAGTCACCTAATGTTGAGCGGACATAAACAATCGAGATCCTGAGAAATCATTTAATAATACTTGAAATAAGCACTGAAATCCTCTCCAAATAGTGGAAAACTGTTACCTGGCATTGTTGAACACCAAGAAATAATGGAGCATCGACCAAAGCTTAAGAACGACGAGCATAAAGCCGACGAAACTACTGAGAAAAAGTCCCCACACAATGATGCCGAAGATAGCGTTCCTGAGGTGGACAGGACAGTAAAAGGCTTCCGTGAACACCATCGGAATGGTCAAGCAGGAGCTGATATCTCATATGTCAAGCTGAGTTTGACCATTTTTGAACGCATTCAGCCGATAACAAAGAAGAGCACTTTTAGCTTAGCTTAGCATAAATCATCGAATCAGATTAGACCCTTAGCATCTCGCTCAAAATTTTGGAAAAAAAGTGTTTCAGTAATTTTTCTATTTAAAGCTTGACTTTTTTGTAGTTACATCATGTACCAAGACTGACGGAAAATGAAAAGTTGCTATTTTCTAGGCTGATATGGCTAGGAACTATATACTCTAATTCTTGTATAATAAATAGGGAACCATGCAGTATAGTTCTTAGCCATATCCACCTAGAAAATAGCAACTTTCGTCAGTTTGGGTACACGATTATACTACAGAAGAGTCAAGCTTTAAATTGAAAAATGATCAAAACACTGATTTATGCTAAGCTAAGCGAAAAGTGTTCTCGCCAGAGTGAGAGATTGGCTGAATGGATTCAAAAATGGGGAAATGGTCTAATCCATTTTAATGATTTATGCTAAGCTAAGCTAAAAGTGCTCTCCCCAGAGGTAAAGTCTAGATCGGATATGCGGCCGGCCGGAAGTGCGATATGCACATTAATAAAGCAGCATTTTTTTTATGACACTGTATAACAATAATTAATATTTTTACAGTACTGTGAGGGTTGGGTTTAGGGTTGGGGTGAGGGTAAACGTTAATAAAATACAACAAATGAGAAATTTAATAAATAACAAAAATAATTTGCGTTAACTTCCGGCCGCAAACGTATCCGCTCTAGCAGCAACCCTTCCTAGAGTCAGTGATTGGCTGAATGGATTCATAAAATGGGAAAATGGTCTAACCGGATTCAATAATTTATGCTAAACTAAGCTAAGCGTTCCTGCTAGACTCAAGAGACTGGCTGAATGGATTCAAAAATGGTCTAATCCGGTTCAATAATTTATGCTATGCAAAGCTAAGCTAAAGGTGTTCCCGCCAGATTCAGAGACTGGCTTAATGAATTCAAAAATGGGAAAATGGTCTAATTCGGTTCAACAATTTGTGCTAAGCTAAGCTAAAACTATTCCTGCTAGACTCAGAGATTGGCTGAATGGATTCAAAAATGGGAAAATGGTCTAATCCGATTCAATGATTTATGCTAAGCTAAGCTAAAAGTGTTCCTGCTAGACTCAAGAGACTGGCTGAATGGATTTAAAAATGGTCTAATCCGGTTCAATAATTTATGCTATGCTAAGCTAAGCTAAAGGTGTTCCCGCCAGATTCAGAGATTGGCTGAATGGATTCAAAAATGGTAAAATGGTCTAATCCGGTTCAATGATTTATGCTAAGCTAAGCTTAGCTAAGCTAAAAATGTTTACCCCAGACTCAGAGATTGGCTGAATGGATTAAAAAATGGGAAAATGGTCTAATCCGAATCAATGATTTATGCTAAGCTAAGCTAAAAGTGTTAAAGCCAGACACAAAGATCGACTGAACTCAACTGTTTAATTCTATGGGAGTTGTAAAAAAGTGGAACGTTCCATTCATGAGATAGTTCACCCAAAAATGTCAATTCTGACATTATGTAACTCTTTACTTGTTTCAAATGTAGTTTCTTTCTTCTGTTGAACACAATGGAAAATATTTTTAAAAATGTTGGAAACCTGTAACCACTGACTTCCATAAAATTTGTTTTTCCTACTATGGAAGTCAATGGTTACAGGTTTTTAGCTTTCTTGAAAACATTTTCCAAGTTACTGGATTAACTTAAGGGTGAGTAAATAGTACGTAAGTTGTACATTTTGGGTGAACTATCCCTTTAAGAATCGTGAGGCTAATTTGAGAGGTAACAATCACAGATTGGTATTAGTCCAGCAGTGTAAAGTTGCTTTAAATGAAAGGGAAGAGTCTTTTTTTCAGGATGTAGAGCACCGTCGCCAAAAACAGCGCGATGGCTAAAAAGATCAGCAGTTTGTCCGTCAGCTCGCGGCGGTTATATTTCAGGATAAGTTTCCGGCCCAAGTGAATGGTCCCCGTCATGGCCTTAAACTCTTCATTTGTCTCTTGTACAGTCCTTGAGGATGTAACTGGAAAAATAAATAAATGAAAAAAGTCACACAATGTCCACAATAAGGTTAAAAGTTAAGGATGGAATGGCGGTTGCAGTTCAAATGTGTACATGTTTATATTATTATTTTATTCATGTATATTCATGCGATTCCTGTTAAAGGGGTAGTTCACCCCAAAATTAAAATGTACTCATTATTTACTCTCCCTCAAGTAGTGTGGTCACGATACCGGAATTCGGTACTAATCGATACTGAAATTTTAAAAACGTAAATTTCCCGCTAACATTTAAGCGCGTTCTTAAACTGTGCTGATTGGCCATTGTGTTCATCAGGGTCATTAGTTCACTGAACTCATCACTGTTTACTCAGTTTAACCACAGATACAGGGACACTGGAGCTTTTAAAGCTGTGATTCATCAGCGGATCACTTATATGTCAGCTTATAGACAAACCAGCTGATTGATATGCCCCCCCCTCCCCCCTCCAGGCAATTTGGTATGGTCTGTGAAACCCCCGGGCTGACAACATTGGTATAGGATCTGAGCGCAGCGGCCACCAGAGACATGCTTCATAGTAGTTACTAACACCATAGTACACCGTGCCCAGTTCTCAACAGTGTTATCAGGGCCGGCGAGTCCATAGAGGCGACCTGGGCGGCAGAATAGTGAGGGCGGCATCCGTGAACCCCCCGGTCTTCACTTTCATCCGTGACACCCACCTCCTCCCTCCCGGTCCTCACTTTCATCTGCGAACCGGTCACTTTCTGAGCGCCAGTTTAGCTTGCTTCGGCCCTGAGTGTAATTCAGACCCCTCACCCCGAACCCCTAAAAAACTGACATTTCTCCACGGTTGAATTGTCGCATGAATGCGTCATCAAATTCGGAGCTCCTATTGAATCTTGGATTGACGCTTATGTCACACTGCAGGAAAGTGTCTGAAATCTTCTGACACTGCCAGAACTTCATCGGCGGGAAAATCTGATCACAACGGGCACCAAGCGGCTGTCTGTGTACATGACAAACCAACGATCAAAGATCACCGATTTTACCCTGGGCTTTCAGGAATCTTTTAGGATTTCATAATTGGTCTCAGATGACAGAATCGTGGCTGAAATCTCACAGCATGAGCAGGGCTTTAGGTAAGTTAAAAAATTCTCCAGAAACAGGTTTGTGTTGTCATTTATAAACAGAAGCATTGGTAAACTGAGCTATTTTTGTTACCCAGAGTTCCGATGGTCTCATCGCTCTGCTGCACCTGCTGCGACATCATTCGGCTAATGCTCATCAGGCTCTCAGTGATGTCACTGGATGTCTGCACCAAACTCTCTTTAGTGGCCTTCCTGAACACAAAACAACACAACCAATTTATTCAAAATGACTAAAAGAGTAAAGCTAACGGTGCTAAGAAGTTAAAAAAAAAAGCACTTCACTTGATCTAAACCTGTTTGAGCTTCTTCCTTTTGTTGAACACAAATGAAGCAATATTATGGAAGTCAATGGCCACCGTTTCTAACATTACCCAGAACAACAGCAAAATATTTGTGGTGTCGGTCAAATTAGATGTTGTGTGAATATAAAACTGTTGATGTTGTGTATATTGGGTAAAATTTAAATATATATATATATATATATATATATATATATATATATATATATATATATATATATATTAGCGCTGTCATAATTAGTGCATTAACGCATGCGATTAATTTTAAATAATTAACATCTTAAAAAAATTAACGCAGTTGCAGGTTTTTTTTACTTCCTGTTGTGGTGGACGTGTGTTCAACATGCAAGAAATGTGTATAAGACCAAGGAAGCACTTTTTGAAGGCAAGTTTCAGTATAAAACAATTAGTCGCATCACCAGGTTATCCAGAGTTTCATGCAATTTCGGGTGTTTCATTTTTAACTTTCGACTTCTGTTGTAAGTTGGTACCGTATGGTGAACAGAAAGAAAATCCTCCGCATTTCGTGACTCGGTGTTCCTTTAAGGTAATAAAATCACTGCTTAGGCAACACGGTAGACTTTTAATAAGAGTATAATCTTAATCATATTAAAATCGGAGTATTGGTGTCTCATGTACATGTACTCAGAAAGTCTCTGGTGAAGTCGCGAGCTGTCAAAGACAGGGCATTACTCTGCTTTTCAGCATGAGCCCTCCACTTTAGTGTGTTTCCTCATTAAGCGCAACGAAAGCGTATGCTTCGTGTTGTTGTGTCAGAATCCTTGTGAAATAAAGAAATACTTTAGAACGCTTAGTTTAAGCAAATTTGAACGCGATCATGCGTGTTGAATCTGAAGGGAGTCGCTCCAGCGCGTTGTGTGTGTGTGTCTGTGTGTGTGTCTGTGTCAGGCCCGTTGAGGGGTGTCAGGAGTGGAGTGAGCGACGTATCTGAGTAGGGGCGTGTGCGCGCGAGACGCACCTGAAGGACGGTGGGGGTGAGTTGCGCGCAACATACCTGAAGAGCTAGGAGGGATGCAGGGGAGAGGGGTGTGCAATGTATTTAAGGACCGGTTTGCGAGAGATTATCATTCATTTGCGAGCATCCAGGAGTCTCTGTGGATTTGCGGGATACTCCTAGTCTTAGCAACTGGATGAATGTAAAGGAGGATTAAGCAAAATTGTTTCAACTTTATAATTAATGTTCTCAACTCACAGCAATAAAACTATACAATGAGTGCAACAGTTTGTATTCTATAGTTTATAATTATAATTTTTCATTTTCCATATCTGCAGTTCCTGTATTATGGCATTTTTTTGCAGTCCACTTAGAATCCAACATGGAAATCAATGTTTTTTTTATTGGCATTGATTGTTTTGAAATTGAAATGGCATTAATATGACTGTATTTTAATTTCTGTAATAAATATGGCTGTTAAGCCAGGATCTTGATGGTTTATTGTGGGTATGTTGTTTACATGAAAAAAAAATCTGTGTTACAAGTTAAACAAAAATTCTAATAACAATTATATTTTGAATTTAAATAGTTTTTGTCTTGCGTTTACATTAATTTTACATTTAAATAGCCAAAATTACAAGTTTCAGTATTTTAAATGCGATTAATCGCGATAATTTTTTAAAAAAGGTGCGATTAATTAGTTATTTTTTTATATATATATATATATATATATATATATATATATATATATATATATATATATATATATATATATATATATATATATATATATATATATATATATATATATATATATATATATATATATATATATATATATATATATATATATATATATATATATATATATATATATATATATATATATATATATATATATATATATATATATATATATATATATATATATATATATATATATATATATATATATATATATATATATAATATATATATATATATATATATATATATATATATATA